CCAAGCTCCCTCTTCATAGGCCCCTACAACGGTTCAATTCCATGGAGGGAGTTGCCTCGTTGGAAGACATTCGTTTGAAGATCCGGAAGCGCGCCAAAACATTGTTCTCGGGATTTCAACGCTACATATCAGCCGGACTGCTGCGTCTTGACGATCCGAAATCGTGCCGAAACGCCATTTTGGGGACTTCAACACCGCGAGTCAACATAATTTGAACCCTTCCAAAGCACCCTTTCTGTTACGTTGGGAGCCAGTGAAGCTCCTGCAAATATTTAAAACGAATGCGCGCACAGTTTGGAAGCCAACCGACCTCAATCCGTGAAACTCTGGCAATTTATTTTAAACGAATGCGCGCGGGGCTAAGGCAAAATCCACATTTTGAAAACGACCCGCCCTCAATCCGTATAACTTTCTTTTTTGTTTTAAACGAGCGTGCGCGGCGCTAAGGCGAGAGCCACATTTTGAAAACCACCTGCCCTCAATCCGTGAAACTCTTTCAAATGTTTAACACGAATCTGCGCGGCGCTGAGGCGAGAGCCACATCTTGAAAAGGACCCGCCCTCAATCCGTGAAACTCTTGCAAATGTTCAAGACGAGTCTGCGCGGCGCTGAGGCGAGAGCCGCATTTTGAAAACGACCCGCCCCTCATCTGTGAAATTGCTGTCCTGTTTAAGCTTCAGAGTCAGAAATAGTGAGGAAGTCTCAGGCGAACCCCCAGCCCGCCCTAACAACTGGGTTTGGGGTGCGACAGGGAGAGGTTATTTATATGGACAAGGAATGGAGGAGGAGGAGGAGGAGGAGGAGGAGGCGGAGGAGGAGGAGGAGGAGGAGGAGCCGGAGGAGGAGGGGCAACAGGTGTGGACAGCAGAGGGGCAGAGGGAGGAGGAGGAGGAAGGAGGAGGAAGGAGGAGGAAGAGAGGCAACAGATGGGGAAAGCACAGGGGCAGAGGGAGGAGGAGGAGGAGGAGGAGGAGGAGGAGGAGGAGGAGGAGGAGGAGGAGAGGGGTAGCAGATGTGGAAGGCAGAGGGGCTGAGGGAGGAGGAGGAGGAGGAGGAGGCGGAGGAGTTGGAGGAAGGGGAACAGATGTGGAAAGCAGAGGGGCAGAGGGAGGAGGAGGAGGAGGAGGAGGAGGAGGAGGAGGAGGAGGAGGAGGAGGAGGAGGAAGGAGAGGCGGAGGAGGCGGAGGAGGAGGAGGAGAAGCCGGAGGAAGAGGGGCAACAGATGTGGAAAGCAGAGGGGCCAGAGGGAGGAGGAGGAAGAAGGTGGAGGAAGAGGGCAACAGATGTGGACAGCAGAGGGCAGAGGGAGGAGGAGGAGGAGGAGGAGGAGGAGGAGGAGGAGGAGGAGGAGGGGGTAGCAGATGTGGAAAGCAGAGAGGCAGAGGGAGAAAGAGGAGGAGGAGGAGAGAAGAGGAGGAGGAAGAGGGGCAACAGATGGGGAAAGCAGAGGGGGGAGGAGGAGGAGGAGGAGGAGGAGGAGGAGGAGGAGGAGGAGGAGGGGTAGCAGATGTGGAAGGCAGAGAGGCAGAGGGAGGAGGAGGAGGAGGAGGAGGAGGAGGAGGACGAAGAGGAGGAGGGAAGAGGGGCAACAGATGGGGAAAGCAGAGGGGCAGAGGGAGGAGGAGGAGCAGGAGGAGGAGGAGGAGGAGGAGGAGGAGGAGGGGGAAGAGGGGCAACCAGTGTGGAAGGCAGAGGGGCAGAGGGAGGAGGAGGAGGAGGAGGAGGAGGAGGAGGAGGAGGAGGAGGAAGGAGGAGGAGGAGGAGAGAGGAGGAGGAGAGGAGGCGGAGGAGGAGGAGGAGGAGGAGGAGGGGTAACAGATGTGGAAAGCAGAGGGGCAGAGGGAGGAGGACGAGGACGAGGAGGAGGAGGAAGACGAAGAGGGGCAACAGATGTGGACAGCAAAGGGGCAGAGGGGCAGAGGGAGGAGGAGGAGGAGGAGGAGGAAGAGGGGCAACAGGTGTGGAGAGCAAAGTGGCGGAGGGAGGAAGAGGAGGAGGAGGAGGAGGAGGAGGAGGAGGAGGAGGAGGAGGAGGAGGAGGAGGAGGAGGAGGGGTAGCAGTTGTGGAAGGCAAAGGGGCAGAGGGAGGAGGAGGAGGAGGAGGACCAGAGTAAACCCAAGAGTCATCAACGATGTTGGAATTAACCCTCCCTCCAAGCTCCCTCTTCAGAGGCCCCTACAACGGTTCATTTCCATTGAGGGAGTTGCCTCGATGGAAGACAACCGTTCGAAGATCCGGAAGCGTGCCAAAACATTGTTCTCGGGATTTCAACGTCACGAATCAGCCTGATTGCTGCGTGCTGACGATCCAGAATCGTGCCAGAACGCCGTTCTGGGGGACTTCAACACCGCGAATCAACATAAATGTTGCGCCCGCATAATCCTGAACACTTCTGAAACACCCCTTCTGGTACGCAAATAGTTAACACGAATGCGCGCGGCGCTAAGGCGAGAGCCACATTGTGAAAAGACCCCCCCCCAATCCGTGAAACTCTTTTGCAAGTATCTAAAAGGAATGTGCGCGGCGTTAGGGGCGAGAGCCATCTTTTGAAAATGACTCGCCCTCAATCCGTGAAACTCTTGCAGATTTTTGTCAACGACTGTGCGCGACGCTGAGGCGAGAGCCACATCTTGAAAAGGACCCGCCCTCAATCCGTGAAACTCTTTTGCAAGTTTCTAAAACGAATGCGCGCTGCGCTCAGGCGAGAGCCACGTGTTGAAAGCCGCTCGCCCTCAATCCGTGAAACTCTTGCAAATACTTGTAAACGACTGTGCGCGGCGCTGAGGCGAGAGCCACATTTTGAAAAGGACCCGCCTTCAACCCGTGAAACTCTTTCAAATGACTAATGTGCGCGGCGTCGAGGCGAGAGCCACATGTTGAAAATGACTCGCCCTCCATATGTGAAACCGTTGTCATGTTTAAGCTTCAGAGTCATAACTAGTGAGGATGTCTCAGGCGAAACGCCCTGCCCGCCCTAACAACTGGCCTCGGGGTGCGACAGGGAGAAGTTATCTATAAGGAGAAGAAATGGAGGAGGAGACGACGAGGAGGAGGAGGAAGAGGGGCAACAGATGTCGAAAGCACAGGGGCAGAGGGAGGAGGAGGAGGAAGAGGAGGAGGAGGGGGAGGAGGAGGGGTAGCAGATGGGGAGAGCAGAGGGGCAGAGGGAGGAGGAGGAGGAAGAGGGGAAACAGATGCGGAAAGCAGAGGGGCAGAGGGAGGAGGGAGGAGGGAGGAGGAGAGGAGGAGGAGGCGGAGGAGGAGAAGAGGAGAAGGCGGAGGAGGAGGAGAAGGAGGGGGAGCAGGAGGAAGAGGGGCATCTGATGGGGAGAGCAGAGGGGCAGAGGGGCAGAGGGAGGAGGAGGAGGGGAAGAACAGGGGCATCAGATGTGGAAAGCAGAGGGGGCAGAGGGAGGAAGAGGAGGAGGAGGAGGAGGAGGAGGAGGAGGAGGAGGAGGAGGAGGAGGAGGAGAGGAGGGGCAGCAGATGTGGAGGGAGGAGGAGGAGGAGGAGGAGGAGGAGGAGGAGGAACAGGGGCAACAGATGTAGAAAGCAGAGGGGCAGAGGGAGGAGAGGAGGAGGAGGAGGAAGAAGAAGAAGAAGAAGAAGAGTGGCAACAGATGTGGAAAGCAGAGGGGAGAGGGAGGAGGAGGAGAGGAGGCGGAGGAGGACGAAGAGGAGGACGAGGAGGCGGCGGCGGAGAAGGAGGAGGAGGAGGAGGCGGAGGAGAAGGAGGAGGAGGCGGCGGCGGAGGAGGTGGAGGCGGAGGAGGCGGAGGAGGAGGAGGAGGAGGAGGAGGAGGAGGAGGAGGAGGCGGAGGAGGCGGAGGAGGCGGAGGAGGAGGCGGAGGAGGAGGCGGAGGAGGCGGAGGAGGAGGAGAGAGGGGCCCGCCCCTTCCCAGGAGTCCCAGGCGCTCTCGGCGCTGGACCGGACCCTGCTCTTCCGGAACCAGCTCGGCTCCGCGCGGGAGGGCCAGGGGCCGCGCCCTCGGACGGAAACCCTCGCCGTCGCCGCCGCCGCCGCCGCCGCCACTGCCGTCGTCGTCGTCGTCGTCGTCGTCGTCGTCGTCGTCGTCGTCGTCGTCGTCGTCGTCGTCGTCGTCGTCGTCGGCGCCTCGGAAGGGCTGCTCTCTGCGCTCCTCGGCGCGGCGAGCGCCCGGCTCGGAGGGCATCTCGGCGAGGAGGCGGAGAAGGATCGAGGAGGGGGGTCGATGAGAAGGAGGAGGAGGAGGAGAGGAGGAGGACGAGGAGGCGGCGGAGGAGGAGGAGGAGGAGGCGGAGGAGGCGGAGGAGGAGGAGGCGGAGGAGGAGGAGGAGGGGGAGGAGGCGGAGGAAGCGGAGAAGGAGGAGAAGGAACGAGGAGGGGGGTCGAGGAGGAGGAGGAGGAGGAGGAGGAGGACAGGGAGGAGGATCGAAGACTCCTCGATCCTCCCCCTGGGGTCGGGGGCATCCAGGGGGGATGTCTGCTCGATGGCTTCTTCTTTGCACACTGTCGCCCGGAGGGACGGGGGGGCACCGCAAGCCCAAATCTCCGACGATCGGTTTTCTCTCATCCGGGCATTCTCTCTGGATCTCGGCCTCCTGGGCCAGTTGCCGGGCCCCGGGGCCATCAGAGACGGACCTGGGGTGCAGAACTACCCGCGGGGAAGAGGTCGGGGTCTCTGGGGCCGCGGGCTGAGTGATTCGGCGGCGCGCCCGGGGGGGAAGTGGGAGGGGGGGAGGCCATCTCAGAAGGCGGCGGGGCTTCTCGGAAGCCCTCGCGCCTTCCGAGAAGTGTTCCGCGTCTTCGGGGGAGGCTCACAGAACGCCTCAGAGGGCCAGAGGCCTGTCGAGCCTTCCGGGAAGGCCCGCCCCGCCGCACATTCCACCGGGGTTCGCCAGCCAAGTTCCTGGGAGTGTCTCCACGGGTTGTTCCGATAAAGACCGTTTGGCTTGGGGCCTTTTCTCACCTGGACGACGAAAAAAACGGGATCGTCTTCACCGACATTGGCGCGTAAACTGCCCGCGTAAGCTCGCGCGTACGCGCCCTCGTTCCCGATGTAACGTGACGCGCTGGCGGCCCGCGTATGCCGCCGCGTAAGGTCGCTACGTCATCCCGCGCAAAACCCGTTGGTGATCGTCGCTCAGTTGCATGGCCTGGAGCTTGGCGTCGCTCGGACGTCTGCGTTTTTCCTCGGCGAGCATCATCGAGGAGCATCCTAAAGCATCTCGCGACAAATAAGCGCACGAAGCCGAAAAGTGCACGGGGAGTGGACGTCCGAGAGATGGCCAGGGAGGCGGAGGCGGGGGAGGCGGAGTCAAAACCTCCGCCGCAAAGGCAAACCTGCGAGAGCTGGGGTGCTGCCCGCGCAAGACAAAAACGTTACCTTCGTGAGGCTCGCGCAAGAAACGTTACCCTTGCAAGGCTGCGCCAGGAGGAAAAAAAAAATCCGCCGCGAAGGCCTCCATGGATGAGCCCTGCTGGCGCCCCTGGGGGGTGGCGGGCAGTGGGCGGCGCAGGCTCGGCGGCGGGCCCGGGGGGGAAGCGAGAGGGGTGCGGGCCTTCTCGGAAGGCTCGGAAGTTCCCCGGCCTTCTGAAAAGTGTTCTGGGCCTTCCCGAAGAGAATGGGCCTGCTTTCCACCACCACCACAAGTTGGAGGGGGAGAGGGTCCTCCTCCTCCTCCTCCTCCTCCTCCTCCTCCTCCTCCTCCTCCTCCTCCTCCTCCTCCTGCTCCTCCTCCTCCTCCTCCTCCTCCTCCTCCTCCTCCTCCTCCTCCTCCTCTTCGTCCTCCTCCTCCTCCTCCTCCTCCTCCTTTCCCCCCTCCAGCTTATGGCGGTGGCGGTGGACAACAAGCCCAGCAGAAGGCACCGAAGACCTCTCCGAGGGCGCGAGGGCTTCCGAGAAGTCCAGGCCGCCTCCCGAGGGGGCCTGCTCCCTCTCTCGTGTTCCCCCCCGCGCTCGCCGCCGAGGGGCACTGGTGCCCCTGCGTCCGCGCGCTTCGGCGCACGGCTGTCTTGGCTGTCGGCCAGGAGTACGCACTGATCATTTCTAATTCTTCGAGGGTTCTGTGTTTTTTTGGGGGGCCAGGATCCTTTCATTCCTGATTGTTCTATCCTGGGCCTTTTCCTGGCCACCAGGCGGCCAGGAAGAGTTAGAAACGAGCACAATTAGAAATGAGCACGATTAGAAATGAACGACGTGTACGGCTTTCACATGCCACCGCTTTCTTCTGTGCGTTGCCCATTCGGCCTCGTCGATATTTGTTTCAACTTAGCCTCAGGTGCGTGGCGGCATGCGCAGTTCGACGACGCTGGCCGCAGCATGCGGACCGCTCCCATCTTCTCCAACAAGAAGCCCTGGCTCTCGGGCCTGCCCAGATCCGGGCCTGCCATGGTTTCCTGGGCAGTCTCGCGGGCCGGGCGGGTCTCTCGTCGAGGGGCTTCATTGAGCCCGCGGGGTCCGCCCGACGCGGGCTGGCACGCTTTCGCCTTGGGGGGGGGGGTCCTCTTCCCGGTCCTTTCTCTCGGGAGCGGCCCAGAGAGCGGTGATGATTGAGGGGGATATCATGGATGTGGCCATGGCCATGAGACCTGGCGGGGTACCCTGGCCACAGCAATGATACCGCCCCAGACTTCGTGGCCCCCTCTTCTCGTCTCATTGCGTCCCGTCCCCCCTGGGACCGCACACGTGCCTCGGGCCATGAGTTGCGAGTCCCCCTCTTGGACGCCCCCCTCTTGAACGCCCCCGATTCTCCGCCGTGTCGGTCGTGTCGGTGCCGCCCAAGGTGGGTTCTCTGGGGGTTGGGGGTCGCCACTGCTGGGTGCGGCTCGACAAGTTGGTCCGGATGCCCCTCCTCCATGGGGTGTCCAGGGGCAAGTTTCGAGCGGAATGTGGTCAGACGAGGAGGGAAGGTTAAGGAAAGGGAGGAGAAGGAGGAGGAGGAGGAAGGTGGAAGGGCGGAGGATGAGGAGAGGAAAGGTCGCAGGGAGAGGGAGGAGGAGGAGGAGGAGGAGGAGGAGGAGGAGCAAGAGGAGCAAGAGGAGGATCCAGGTCGCCCAACATTTCTGGCACATTGTGGGCATGTAGATGCTGCTCCCAGCTTCTCATTGTTTGATTATACTAGGTAGCTTCCTCTGCTTGACGTATTGATGCATGTTGCCTGGATGGTTGATCGAGAGAGAGAGAGAGAGAGAGAGAGAGAGAGAGAGAGAGAGAGACGCCTCTGAGGCCATACCCCATCGAATCCGTTCCCTACTTGGCCATCGGCGACATTCACGACGCACGCAATATACCGAAGCTGTTGGCGGCCAATGTGGGAGCTGTGCTCAATCTCTCAGACTTCGAGGGGTCTTTCGAGAAGTACGCCGCCTCTGGGATCGCGTACCAGAAGATCGACTGCCTGGACATGCCCGGCTTCCCGATCATCGCCAAGAGTTTTCCCACGGCGCGCATGTTCATGGACGGCCAGGTTCAGGAGGGAAGACAGCACACAGACACAAATCATCTTGGACCCCCCGGAAGATATGGAGAGTATGGGAAGCGGAGGGGGAGACGAACATTTGAGATAGCAGGAGGGAGTCTTGGGAATCCTGGCATCTGTGCCTAGATGTGTCTGTGCCCCCGGGCCCCACGGACAGGCCTGCGGCGCCCCCGCCCCCCCTAGCGACAGGGGCCCAGGCGACCTGCCGGCTGAGCTGCTCAACCCGCGGCCCCAGAGGTCTCGGCCTCTTCTCGGCCGCGGGCAGCGGGGGGTGGGGTTAAGTCGGGCCCGTCCCTCTACAGGGGGAGTACGAGAAAATTGGTATACATTGTCCTTATATATATATATATATATATATATATATATACATACATACATACATACATACATACATACATACAAAATGTCTGGGGACGTGTTTTTGAGCATGTGTGTGGCATTTGGGGGGTATGTTTTATCTGTCGTCCAAGATCCTTTCGTAGGGGGCACGCCCGACCGAAGGGTAGGGGGAGGGGGGAGCGCTTCTTCGAGGCACCACTGCTTCTTAGAATCAGGCGATCGCAAACGTGGATCAAGGGGGCGTGGATTAGCGACGGGTCCCGTTTCCATGGGTATTGCGGATTGCCGCCACCGAGCGAGGCGGCAGCGGCCGCATTTTGGGGAGGGCACCTCTCCCGATCCATGGATTGGGCGACCGCGCGCCAAATCCATGGATCGCTAATCCATGCTTGCGTGCCCCCGATAGAAGGCGCGGGCCTTGTCTGCAGATGTAGGGCAGCCTCCTTGCAGAGAGGCCTCCCCGCTCCCCCGTACCCCGTTTAGTGCGCGCCGCCGAGTAGTTTTGCACGCTGGATCCCTTTGTGGTGGTCCTGGGGCCCGACAGGCTGGCCCCAGAGGCCGAGATCCAGGAAGCATGCCCAGATTCAGGAACCGTATCGTCGGAGAGTTGGGTTTGCGGTGCCCCCTTTTCACCTCGAAGTGACAGGGGGCAACGAACCCATAAGCAGACCCCCCCCCCTGGATGCCCCCGACCCCAGGGAGGGAGGATCCAGGAGTCTTCGATCCTCCTCCTCACCATCGATTCCCCGTCTCGATCCACCACCACCTCCTCCTCCTCCTCCTCCTCCTTCTCCTCGACCCCCCTCCTCGATCCTTCTCCTCCTCTCCTCCTCCTCCTCCTCCTCCTCCTCCTCCTCCTCCTCCTCCTCCTCCTCCTCCTCCTCCTCCTCCTCCTCCTCCTCCTCCTCCTCCTCACCCTCCTCCAAGATCGCCCTCCTCGATCCTCGATGCTCCTCGAACCTCGATCCCCCTCCTCGATCCTCGAACCACGATCCTCTCCACGGGCACGGCGGCCAGGTCCAGCGCGGCAAGCGCATCCTCGTGCACTGCAGCATGGGCATAAACCGCTCCGCGACGATTTGCGTCGCCTACCTCATGGCGCCTCGGGGGGATGCTCCCCAGACGTGTTCGCGGCGTCACAAAATCACGACGGACGGCTTCGTCAAAGTTTTCGGCCTTTGGGGGACCTTCGCAAGGCCCCAGGGAAATGTTCGCGACCCTGGGGAGCCCCGCACTGAGAAAATTAAGACATCGGATGTCTGGGGCCAGGGGCCACGACCTTGAGCCTCCTCCATCCCTCCTTCCATCCCCTCCCTCCGCGTCTTTCCCTCCCTCCTCCACGAACGTGTCCCCTCCTTCCTCCTTCCTCCCCTCCGTCCTTCCCTCCCTCCTCCTGCCCTCCCTCCCTCCCTCGTCAAACCCTCCCGTCTCCTGGAGGCCCAGAGGTACTGGGGCAACCCTTCTGTCTAACCGCCCATTCCAACATAGCAGGTCGGACACTTGCAGCCAAGGTGTTTCTCCTCCTCTTCTTTCTTCGGTCTCCTCCTCCTCCTCCTCAACCTCCTCCTCCTCCTCCTCCTCCTCATCATCATCATCGTCGTCATCATCATCATCATCATCATCATCATCATCATCATCCCTACCTTCCCCATCAGCACAAGCGTCGTCATCACATCGTAGTCGTCGTCGTCATCCTCACCATCATCATCCGCATCGTCATCGTCATCGTCATCATCGCCACCATTATCAACAACATCAACGTCATCATCGTCATTGCCATCGTCATCATCGTCGTCATCATCATCATTACCACCACCACCATCACCATCACCATCCCGTCGTCGTTGTCATCATCATCATCATCATCATCATCATCATCATCATCATCATCATCATCATCATCATCATCATCATCATCACCATCAGCAGCAGCAGCAGCAGCACCATCAGCACCATCAGCACCATCAGCATCCAGCCGTTCCTCGTGCTTCTTTTCCAGCTGTTCCTCCTCATCCTCCTGACGCTCAGGGTCCCCTGCACGATTGCCCACGAGCGCGAACTGAGGAGGTGGAGTGGGGAAGAGCGTTGGCGAGAGCGAGGAGGAGGAGGAGGAGGAGAAGAGGGAAGACAGCGACGAAGAGAAGGGGAAAGAGGCGAAGGAGAAAGAGGGGGACGGGGAGACGGCGGGGGAGGAAGAAGACGAGCAGGAGAACGAGAAGGAGGGGGAGGAAGAGGAACATGAATACGGCCACAAGAGGCAGGAGCAGACGCGGTAGCTGAGGGGACCACACAGTTGGCGAAAGCGATCATAATCCCCCCCCCGCCTTTCGCCCTCGGCATACAGACACGGTCCCCTGCTTCTCGTGCATGCTGAATCCGCCCCCAGGCGCGGATGTGCCACCGCGCGCATGCGCGCGCCAAGTGCTGCGGCGAGCCCCGCGCAGGAGGGCCGGGCCGTGCACGCCTGGTGGCACCCCGCAGCGCGCGCCCCGGCCGCGGCGCCGTCGGCCTGCGCGCATGGCTGCGTGCCTCTTGCTCTGCGGCCCGGCGCGGGCGCGTCGGCCCCCGCGGCGCTCTCGGGCACTGGCAAGCGGAGTGCGCCCGCGGCCGGCGCGGGCACCGCGCTGAGCGCGTGCCCGGGGACAGGGTCGGGCCTGGTCCGGCCGGAGGCCACGGGCAAAGTCTCGGGGCCCCCCAGGCGGGGACAGGTCGGACGGGCCCAGGACGAGGACGAGGCCGTTCCAGAGCGCGTTCCGGGAGGCTCTCGGAGCGTGCCCGAACGCTCCGAGAAGGCCGCGGCGCCCGAGGCATCCTCCAGAGCCGCGAGATCTCAGAGATTCTCGATTTATCTACACCCAAATTTATCCTCGTCCTGGCTTCGTCTTACAATTTCTCAGGGTCCCCTAAACAGGGGCACTGGTAAGCCCAGAGATTGGCGCGCAAGAGATAGCTGCAGCTGTGGGTGTCGAGACATCTTTTCGCTGGCGGGAGTTCTCAAAGTCCTGGTCAGAAATGTCCTCGTGTAGGGAGCCCGGAAGTTTGGGATGAGGAGGACGGGGAAGGAGGAGGCCGTGAGGGCAAGCGTTTGCTCGATGCCCCCTTGACTCCCCATCCTCATCCGACGCCGAGGAGGCCGTGAGGGCAAGCCTTTGCTCGATGCCCCCCTGACTCCCCATCCTCATCCGCCGCCGCCTTCCTCACTTCAAAGGCGCCTGACAACCTCCCCCCTGCTTTTCCTCCTCGTCCGCTCCCTGGCTCGTCCCTCTCCTCCCTCCTCCCTGCCCCTCTTCCTCCACCTCCTCAGCCTTCCCCCTCCCTCTGCAGAGTTCTCTTGTCAGCCTCCGGAAATTCCAGAATGCTTCCAGAACGCTTTGTAGGTTTCGGAAAGCTCCGACAACAATCCGAAAATCTCCCAGACGCCCCGAAACCCAGCAACGGCAAGGACGACGACGACGAGGAAGACGACCATCACCACCACCACCATCACGACCACGAAAGCGACGACGAAGACGACGAAGACGACGACGACGACGACGACGACGACGACGACGACGACGGCACCAGCGTCCCAAACTCTCCGAGGGGTCGACGGATTTGTTTGTTGACGGCCCCATCATGGCACGGACTCGTCCTCGGGATGCCGAAAGCGTGGGAAGCCCGCCCGTCTCGAGCTTTCCGCGACGTCAGAGGTCTGGGTCCTGCCCTAAGACCTAGCACCCAGACCTTTCGAAGTCGGGGAGTCGGCCAGTCGGGGAATCCAGCCGCGGCGACGAGGGCGCCCTAGGCGGTTCAAAAAGGCCCGAAACCGCCAACACCATGTTTCAGCGAAAGGCCCAACCCTGTGCAGTTGCGTGCAGCGCAGGGTGTGGCCCTCTCTTCCTGTACTGCGCGCCACGGGGCAATGCGGATCGGGGGCTGCGCAGCAGGCGCGCAGAGGCGCGTTTCAGTCCCTGTGGGAACCGATCTGCGTGACAGGTGTGCCGAAATGGGCGCAGGGACGACACGTGAGCGCCCGCAGTGGAGCCACAGGTGGAGCTCCCTGTGGGCGCAGAAAGCGTGCGAGGGTTTGTCGAGATGGGCGTGCAGGCGCCTTGTGAGCACCCCACGGCGGCCACGGGCGGAGCTCCGCGCGGGGGCAGGAGACGTGCCGGGGAGGTGCCGAGATGGAGGCGGGCGCGCCAGGCGAGCAGGCCCGCGGGGGCCACGGGTGGAGCTCCACGCGAGCACCGCCACCGGGGCCATGGGCGCGGAGACGCCGTGTGAGCACCCCCACTGGGGCCAGATGTGGATCTCCCAGTGGGGACAGCAAGCGCATAGAGGTTTGCCGAGAAGGCCGCGCAGCCGCCGTGTGAGCACCCACAGGCGGAGCTCCTTGCGGGAACACGAAGCGTGTGAGGGGTGTGCCGAAACGGGCGCGGGGACGCCATGCGAGCACCCGGGGCCGTAGGTGGAGCCTCCTTTTATGAGGGCAGCAAACGTTTGCGGGGTGTGCCGATACGGGTATGCGGACTGAGGGCAGGGAGCTAGGTGCGCCCGCGCCACATCTGACACCTCTCGTCCCTTCAACTGCGCCGATGCGTCTCTGTCCGCCAGCGGGTGTCAGAACGGGCGTGGAACACCCAAAAGGAGTGCTGCGTACATTTGAGGAGGAGGCGGCGGATGAGCAGGGGGGAAGGATGATGAAGGAGGGAGACGATGAGGAATTGCAGCAGAATGAGCGGGAGGAGCACGAGGACCTCGAGGAGGCGGGGGGGTGAAAGGAAGGGGTCGACAGCGACGAGGAAGCACTCGGGCCCAGAAATGCAGCCCGCGCTGGGGCAACGGGGCCAAGCGCCGATCCGAAAATGAGGCAAGCGCTGCAGCGGGGGCACCATGTTGGAAGGACCGAGAACGCTCCGACTGGAAATCGTATAAGAATGTTAGCAAGCGTGGGTCCAAAACAGCGATGTCTTGCAATACGTGTGGTGCAATGTAGGTAGCGCAAAAGAAATGCAATGCCAAGCAATGCGATGCGCAACAAGGCAAAGAGCAATTCGAAGGAATGCAACACAACGCAAAGCCATGCGAACAACTCGAAGGAAGGATTGGACTGCAGCGATGCGATTGCGACAGAGGGGTGCAGCGGGGCGGCGGCGCAACAAGTCGGCGGACCTGGCTTCTAGGCCCGGTTCCTTAGAAAAGACGGGTCGCGACGAGGCGGCGACGGCGACAACAAGGCGGCGGACCCGGCAAACAGGCCCGGCTCTGTAGAAAACGAGTACAAGAATCTTAAAGTGCAAGCACTATTTGGGGAAGAGCGATGGCGGACCAATCTTGTGTGTTACGCGGGCCACACTCAGGTCGTCTTCGCGGGGAGAAGGGAAAGAAGTATTCGGATAGTGCAATTGTGGAGGGAGGCGGGAGGTGGGAAGAGACGCGCGGCGATGCGTCTTCAGAACGAGAGCCCAACAAAAACGGACGGTCAGGAAAAGCAGAAAACGTGGACGACGACCACCACCACCACCATCTGCGGTCTCAACCCATCCCCGGGGGCAGATTTTCAGTCGGGACCCTTTTCGACAGCGGCAGCGACAGCGACGACGACGACGACGGTGACGACAACGGCGACGACGACGACGACGACGACGGCGACGACGACGACAACGGCAACGACGACGACGACGACGACGACGACGACGGCGACGACGACGACGACGACGACGACGACGACGACGACGACGACGACGACGACGACGACGGTGGCAGCGGCGGTGGTGGCGGCGGCGGCGGCGGCAACGACGAGGCGGGACGAGCGCCGAGGTGCGGGAAGGCATGCCAGTCGCCGTGGCCGCCGGAACCGTGCAGAGCGCGCGCAGGCACCCCATCCTGACCAATCCAGGCTTCCGGAGGCGGGGCCTGCCCGGCGGTCAAGGGGAGCCCAGATCTTGGGGGGCGCGTGATGTAGGGGCGATCAATGAGGGGGAGCAGCGAGGGCTCCAGCAAAGAGGCCCTGTAGGGCCCCTAAAGGAGCCCTTGCGGGCCCCAGAGGAAGCCTTCAGGGCCCGAAAAGGGCACCTTTCTCCCCCCCCCCCTGTTATCGCCCGCCCATTGCTTCGCGCCCAAAGATCTTCGACGGCGAGGACCATCGGCGAGCATCCTGGATCCTCTTGCGAAAAACCAACGCACGAAGCCGACAAAATGCACGGGGAAGCGACGTCCGAGCGAGGCAAGATCTCCGACGGCACAATTTTTGTCCGTCGGGGCGTCCAGCCCTCGACGCTTCGAGGAGCAGACCCTCGGCATCGCTCGGACGTCTGCCCCCTTTCCTCGGCCCGAGGACCGTCGAGGAGCAGCCTGGATCCTCCTTTGCGAAACACCGGCGTTAAGTCGGGCCTGTCCTCTACAGGAGGAATATTCAAAAATAGTCCAAAAATAGTCGGGGGACTATTTGGGGGCTATTTGTTGACTAGTTTGGGATACTTTTTGGCCATCGCTTGTTTTTCGTCCAAAGTCCCCCTGTAGGGGGACACGCCCGACTTAACACCAGCGAACGAAACCGAACAAATGCACGGGGAAGTCGGGGGTGGACAGAACCCCCAACAGCGACACGTCGATTAGTGAATTGTCCGTTTTCGGTTCTCGAGAGGGCGCCGCGGCCGTTATTTCCCAGGCTTGCGCCCGCCAGGTTTGGGGGCCTCAGGTTGTTTTCATTGAACCACGTTATACTAAAGTCAAGCAGTGGCGAAGCGTCCTGGCTCGCCTATAGCCCCACCAAACAATGTTCTAAGAACCTTTCGTGGTTTCCACGACATGTTCTTAGAACATTTCTGGCGGAGTCTCATTTGGTTTATCACATCGGGTTTATGTTCTAAGAACATTGTCTTTGTTCTTAGAACATTTCTGGGTTCTAAGAACATTTCGTGGTAGGACTATAGGAATGCCGGGACAGTCGGTCCCTGCTCAATAAAGGGAGGTCTGTCCATCCCCGAGGGAAGGGACGTCCGAGCGATGGCAAAAACCACTGCACGGGCCCCCCCCCTAAAAAAAAACGCGCGGAGCTCCGCGCGGCCTTCTCGGAGCGGCGTCGGGCTCCCCCGGCGCGGCACCTCTCCGGCGCCGCCAGCTGGCGCGCTCCGCGCGCCAGGGATACGTCGGGCATGCCCCTCTGCAGGAGGAAAATTCAAAAATGGCAAAAAAATAGAAATAGTAGTGTGACGATGTTTCGATTACGTCCTGACTATATTTGGATACTTCTTGCATATTTTTGTGGCTTTCGTCCAAAACCCGCCTGTAGGGGGACGTGCCCGACCTGATGCCAGGGGCCAGACGGGGTTCGGACGAAGACAAATCCGCTCCGATGCTCTCCACGTCGACGGCGCCGATGCTTCGCAAGTGCACCGGCCATGCGTCGGGAATCTCTGAAACTCCGAATTTTCAAATCCAAAGAAACATGGTACGAACATGTTTTTAAACAAATATTTGTTTAGCTACAAAATAAAAGATCTGGATCTTGTCAAGTCTTCACAGACGGCAAATGCGGCGCGTGGTCCTCCGACCTCCCAGCTGCTCGGACCTGATGCGGGAGGCCTCTGCCCGAGCTCCGAGGCGGGCGAGGGCGAGGCAGCCCCGAGATCCCGGCGTCGCAGCTTGCCCCCAACCTCGGCGGAGGCATTCCCGTCGTGTGTTCCCCTGGCGGGGTCTGGGGGGGGGGGGACCCTGAAGTCGGGCACGCGCCTCTGCAGGAGGAGTGTTCGAAAATAGTCTAAGAATAGTCGGGGGGCGATGTTTCGACCATTGTTTGTTGGTCATTTTTGAGCATGTTGTGGCTATTCTTAAGTTTTCCTCGAAGATCGGCCTGTAGGGGGACAGGCCCGACCTCAGGGTGCCCCCCCGGCGCCCCCCTCGGCCACAGGCCGAGCGCCGGCGGAAGCCGGCGGAAGTCGGCCGCAGTTTGGCGGACGCGCTGCCAAATTGCACGGACGGCCCCCAGACGGTGCGCAAGAGTTATGATGCTCCAACCTACTTTAGCCTT